CCGTGTTTGGACTTTTAATGGAATCTAGCATTTCTCATACGTTATTCTCATTTTTTGGGTTATTTTCTTTATCCTCTTGGTGGTTTTCTCTAGGTCAGAGGTTTAGTCTTCTACATCCGAGATTCAATCTTCTGCATGATCTAATCTGGTTTTTTTTTTTCATTGTTTTTATTTAACTTGTTACTTTTTAATTTATTTAGACCAGAGAGGGACAGAGAGAGAGAGAGAGTGAGAAAGCAAGCCACCAGGCCCGGGACTTGAACTACAGTCGGCCATATGAGAGTCCAGCACCCTTAACCACCACGCCACCTCCCGGCCCCTCTAATCTGCTTATAATACTTTCAAGAGAGGTTCTGATTTCCTGTATTACACCCTTCATCTCTAACAAGCTCCGTTTAATTCTTTTTTAGGGTGTCTACTTCTTCTTTCAAATCGTGGAAGGACTTCCTCATCTCCTATAGCTCACTGTCTCTTTTCTCTTGCATCTTCTGGAGTTCACTGTCTCTTTTCTCTTGCATCTCGTTAAGTGTTGCCACTATGAATATTCTGAATTGTTTATCTGACATTTTCATGAGTTCCATTGCGCTATCTGTGGATGAAAAATTGTCATTTCCCCTGGGGGAGAGAGATTTTCTTGGTTTCTCATATTTTTTGTGCCTCTGCGGTGGTTTCTGGTCATCAGATAGATTATACATTTCTTCCTCATTTCTTAGAGTTAATTTTGAGCATTCAAAGGTGTGTGAGAGAATGTGATCCATGATATCTTTGTAGCCCCGTCTCCCTGATATATACCCTGTAACTGCACTTTCGTTGCTGGGACTGGGTGTTCCAAATGCCTCCCAGATTCTAGAGGACAGATGCACCTGGGGATGAGTCACAGGATTTCAACTGAGAAAGAGTATGCACACTGCACACTTCAGAAAACTATGAGGCCTATGACGACTGGAAGAGAGTGGAGGTTCCAAGGTGGTCTCTGGCCTCAGTCCGTACACTCACTTCTGCATGCAGGAGCCAGGAGAAATGGCAGCGCGGAAGTTGGAAGCAAGAGGGACTAGCACCTGGAGCAGACGAATAGAGTGCACAGTTTCCAAGGCTATCTTTGGCCTTGCTCTCTGCACTCTCACTTCAGCCACTGCAGGAGATGGGAAGAACGGCAGGGCAGAAGTTCAGTTTTCTGTAACTTTGTAACTGCGTAGAAACAACAATAAAGCAGAGAAGCTATGGCAGAGAAGGCTCCTAACAGACCAGCCTTCCCACAGAAAACAACTACAAACTCTGGTTAGAATTTTAAAAAGTAACTATACAAAGGCTCTGGAGATTTTGGAGAAAGATAAAACTTAGAAGAAGGAACAGGTATGGAGAAAGTTACCTACTCTTGATAGTTTTCAGCCTAAGGACTGGCCACAGCCACTGACAGGCCACAGAAGAGAACAGCTAAAACCCCAACAGAAAACCCACTGCCTTTCAGGCCTAAAGGATTAGCACACAGACCCCAAAGCAAACAAGCCACTAGATAATGTGAGTCACCTCACAGGAAAAAGACAGAGAAGACCCACTTCCTGGGCATAAACTCTGTCCAAATTTCTATCTAACCCCTGAGTCATGCATGTGCAGGTCAGACTCAAAGAGTCCAAGCTAAAGACAAAACACCCGAACTGAGATATGAACTACTGCTCGCTGCGGCTGAGACAGTGTTTGTAAGTTACTTACCTGTCTAAACAAAAGTATTAATAACAGTCTTCAGAAGAATATAACAGAATTCAGTCTCCCTGACACAATAGTCACAATGTTCCTACTGGACACTTGAAATGTGGCTATCATAACTGATTAACTGATTCGTCTTGCTTTAGTTAATGGTTTTTTGTTTTGTTTTCTTTAATATTAATTTAAATTTTAAAAAATAATATGACTGATTCAGTTGCTGGAAAATTCTTAAGTGTGCTTAGAAAAGCTGGGCACATCAGAGCCGGCAGGTGGCATGGTGATTGGGGGCGCTGAATTCCCATGTGGCCAACTGCAGTTCGAATCCCGAACCTGGAGGCTTGCTTCCTCACTTTCTCTTTCTCTCACTCTATCCATTCTGGTCAAATTAAAATAAATAAATGGATGGGGGACCAGCAGATGGCGTGGTGGTTAGGGTGCTGGATATTCCCACATGGCTGACCACGGTTTGAGTCCTGGACCTGGTGACTTGCTTTCTCACTTTCTCCCACCCCACCACCCCGAGTCTCTCTCTGGTCAAATGAAAATAAATGAATGAATAAAGAAAATTAAATTTAAAAAAAAAAAGAAAAGAAAAGCTGGGTACATGAATCTAATACTTCCAACTATAAATTGTATGAAATCTAAGTACAGATCAAATATTTCTAATGGAAATCTATGGTCTGAATTAAAGTGTGCTGTAAGCATAAAGTCCACGGCAGGTTTGAAACCTAACTAGCCCTATTATTTTTTTCCACAAAAAAAAAAATGTAAAATATTTTATTAACAATTTTAATAGTGATTACTTGTTGAAATAATATTTTTAATGTATTTGATTAAATAAAATATTATTAAAATTAATTTCCCTTTATTTTTAATATGCCTACTAGAGAATTTTAAATTATATATGTGGTCACATTTCTATGGGAGATCTCTGGTCTAGGATATTATCCAAACATACTCAAATATAAACAATTAAGAAAATATGACCCTTCTAAAGGGAAAAGATGATCAATCCAAGCCACCCCTGAGATGTCTGACATGTTGGAATTACCAAACACAGACTTTAAAGCAGCTATTTTAACTACCATATAAAAGAAATTTGCTAATAAGTGAAGGGGAAATCAAGCAGGTAAATAGAAATTATAAAAAGGAACCAAATGTAAATTCTAGAACTGTAATATACCATGTCTAAAGTTAAAAATTCAGGGCCAGATCTATGGCCTGATGGTTAAGGCAGCAGATTCCCACATGGCTGAGAGTGTAGTTCAAATCCCAGACCCAAGAGCTTGAAAACTCAGAGCTTGAAATTCACATGCTGGGAATGTGTGCACATATACCCAAAATACTAACAGGGTCGAGAAATGGATGAGAAGGGATTGAGCATGACCACGACCCATTGGTAGTTCTTTCTCCCTCTTCCTCTCTGTCTCTCTGCTTATGGATGTACCCTCTGACAAATTTAAAAAGGCTTATTGGAAGAATTAAGAATTAGTGAACCTGAGACCAGCAATTAGCATAATGGCTATGTTGCTGGACTGCCACGTAGCGGACCACAGTTCTAGTCCCGGACCCGGTGGCTTAAACTCACACTGGGCGCGTGTGCGTGCGTGCCAAAGATCCTGAAAGGAGAATGGAGGAGAAGAGATTGCAATGTGGCCATCCCCCCTGGGGGGGGGTGATTTCTCGCTTTCTGTCTCTCTGTCTCTCTCTGTCTTTCTGGTGAGCGCACGTGCCCTATAGCAAAAACCTCTCAAAAAAAAAAAAAAAAAAAAAAAAAAAAAAAAAAAAAAAAAAAAAAAAAAAAGAAAAGAAAAGAATTAGTGAACCTGAAGTTGAATCAATAGATAACATCGAATCTATAAAACAGAGAGAATAGAAGTTTTTTTGTTTTTTTTTTAATGAACAGAGTCTTGGGACAAGATGGCATAGACTGGACTCTCTATTCTAGACTCTCATGGCTGATCGTGGTTCAAATCTCAGATCCAGTAATTTGAAAATCATGCCAGGCACATGTGCAGGCATGCCCAAAGTCCTAGGAGGAGAAGGGACTGCAGTGTGGGCATCCTCCCCTAAAGGGTGATTTCTCACTTTCCCTTTCACTTTGTCTATCTTTCTCTCTCTGACAAACACACACGCCCTAAGGCAAAAACCTCTGGGAAAAAAAGAAAAGTCTCACAGGTCAGTGGGAGAATATCTAGGGGAGGAGAGAATAGGAAAGAAAAAAATATTTGAGTTATAAAAGCTGAAAACATCCAAAATTTCAAAGACAGAAATTAAAGAGAAGAAAAAAATCCTAAAATAGTAACATGGTATGCAAAGAAGAAACGTCAAATAGAACTTCATGTGTTTAAAAAAAAAAAGTGAAAGAAATGAGAGTCCGTGAGGTTAAGGCTGAAATTTGGGAATGCCTAGAATTCATTAAGCTACTTGTTTTCATAACACGTAATTCCCTTGTGTTGAAAAAATATAAATTGGACTGGGTTGGGATGTATTGCCATTTCTAAAAAGAAATAGGCTTTTAAAAACTAGGAAATAGCATGGAGCCAGACTCTGATAAGAATTAATGAACAGACCCAGGCTCTGTGGCAGTCTAGCTTGCTGGACCTCAGAGCTGAAGCCACATGCTGACCATGGTTTGAGTCCCTGGTCCAGTTACAGTGAAAATACGCCAGCATGTGCATGCATGCCCAGGACATTGGCAGGCTGAAGGACAGGAGAAAGGGGGTCCTGGTGTGAGCGAGCACTGCGGAGGGTGCTTCTCCTCACCCACCCCCTTCATGCCCACATGAATCATGTCATGCTAAAAAGCCACCCTGTACCCCTAGCCCTCATTTACACTCACTTCTCTAACTCCTGAAACGCCCGGTCATGACTCAGCCCCACCAGCCATGGAACATCTCACTGGGCCATGAGCACCTCAAAGACAGGGCCCATGTCTGATTTACCTGTTCCCCTGTTGCACAGCACTGGATCTAGCATATCATGGAGGTTTCAACAGCCACTTAGTGCAAAAGCATATGCTAACACACTAAGTCCCGAATTTTAAGTTGGCCAAATACTGTGATATGGAAGCTTTTTAAAAAGTAGATTAAAAGAAAATGGCTGGACCAGCCAAGTCAACGCAGACCATGATTACCCAAGTCAGCCAGGATGTGAATGAGTTGTGAAAAATAAACAAAACTTCAACTTCTCTCTCCCAACAGCAGGGGGAAAAGTCAGAATGGGTTATGTGCTCTACTGATCTACTTTGGCTTTCCCAGACTTGACTTATTCTAGGTAGCTACAAGGTATCGTACCTGTGCCAACACATCTTGAAACTGCTCTCTCGTCAGAGGCATCAGGAAGGCTGTGATCGTTCTTCTCAGTTCACTTTTTGACACTGTCAGGTTCCGATCAGTATCAAGCAGCTGGAAGGCTTTTTTCAACTCATCCTTTTTATCAGTAATTTTTTGAAATAAAATCCGTTTAACATCTAAGAAGGACAGTATCGGATTTGCAATAGCAGTAGCTAAAAAAGAGATACAGCTATATAGTAAATGTGCTTAAAGCTAAGATACGAAATAAAAACCATTGCACTGTTTAACAGAGCCAAACAAGTTTTGGGGACAGTCTTTGTTCTACTATATCTTGGCTTATGTGTCTAGTCAATAGCAAACTTGCAATGGAAAGTCTGTAGTCATTTTTCACCTCTGAAATTTGATCAATATAGAATAACAATAAGGACACCAGAAAAAAAAAAAAGAAAAACAGGCAACGATAATCTTCCTTGTAAATGACATGGGTCAGTCACAAGTGAAAACATGCTATTGGAGTAAAGTTAAGAATTAATATTATTCAAATAAATCTTTGAAGAATCATATTCACTTTTTATCCCCTTGCCAATTTTTGAGGCTAGATATGTAATTCTTAAATCCATATCATTTCCTTTTCAAAGAGATGAGAATGGCCTAGATACCAAACATATTAAGTAGATGTTTAGAATGCTCTAAATAAGTTTTCAGGGGTTTGAACTTCTTGAGAGGAAAAGAACATTCGTGTCCCAACTAATGCTTTCAGGTGTTAGGGTTCCCATGTCACCAAGGAGAAGTGACGCACTGCAGGCCTCCCACCCACCCATGATGAAAACAGCAGTGAGAACAACAGGCGGGAACTGCACAGGGAAATAGGGAAGTTGCGAATCCCCCCACGCTAGCAGTCGGCACCATAGGCATGAAGACGCGGTTGCTCGGTTCGGTATTTTATGACCTACTAAGGAAAGAGGAATCTCAGAATAATAGTAGCTGGGTAAATGCCTTGATTCTTTATGAGGTGCAAAGGCTTGGTTACCATAGTTTATTTAGGAGCTCTTTGTTCACATAGTAAATTCCAGGTGTGTGTCAATGGCTTTCATGCTGCCTCATGTATCGCAGCATTATTGGGTTGTCTGGAAAATCATGTTGTATTTTTGTATGCTTTTCTATGCAAAAAATTTGTCATGACTTTGCCAACAACCCAATATTTTCCAGCATTTACTAAAGAAGGATGATTTTAGTTATTTCCCTCTGAACAGGAATTCCTATCAAGCTAATGAACATTTCCAACATGAGGGAGACAGGGATGACATTGGTCTTGGGGTGACCTGGGCCAGAGGAGAGATTCAAAGGGCAGGACCTCAAGGTGCCAACTGGAACCCCCAGAGGACAGTCAAAGATTCCATCAGCTGCAGGACGCCCAGCACCGTCTGAGTTGGCACCTGCCAGCATGTGGCTGGGGAGACCTGGACGCTTGCCCTGCCCTGGCAGAAGCAGCCTGCAGGTCCTGGGGACCACGTCGATCCTGCCTAGGAACTGCACAGGCTGTCACCAAGTCACATCTCTCCCGACACCTACTGAGGGCCAAGCACATACAAACCCTGCCAGGGCCGGGAATGCCTCTGGCGCGTGGTGCCCACAGTGTCTGGCAAGGAGCAGATCACATCATGGGGCTGAGGCGATGCGGTGGGGAGACAGGCATTAGCTTCTGCGGAGCACACTGGAGAGCCAGAAAAGAGGGTGCTGGTCTAGGGTGAGGGGAGGCAAGGTCACGGGAAAGACTTCTCGGCAGAAGAGGTGACACTTCAGCTGCCACCTGGTATTCCTGAGTGGGGGCAGGGCTGGAATCAGGGTTCTGTGGAGCTCAGCAGCCTGGCAGAGAGGAGAAGCTGACGAGCAGAAGAGGTGAGGCCAGGAGGTGGGACAGGATGAGGCAGCAGAGCCTAGCAGTCGCGTCCTTGGGCTTTGAGCTCTGGTGAAAGGACACCTGATTCCATGTGCAGGTGATGCCGGGGCACTGGCAGATGGCAACGCCTTCACTGAGGAGGGCAAAGCAGAAGGCAGAGATGGCCGCGGCGAGACCTCCCACCACGTGTACTTTCCTTACAACGTCATGTTAACATCCTCCTCCCAAAGAGGGGCAGATGCTCCCCACTGAATCAGGCAGGCCCATGACTATGGCATAACATGTCAATATAACATACGTGCTTCCAAGACAGGGTCATTCAAAAAGGCGCTACGGCTTCCGCGCAGTCCTCAGAAGAAGCTCGGGCCCAGCAGCCACAGGCAGAAGCCACATGGAGGTGCTCCAGGTGGCAGCTCTGGCCAAGCTTCCAGCCAACAGCCAGTATCAGCCACCAGCTACAGAGTCAGCCGGACTTCAGACGCTGGGGCTGCTGGAGTGAAGTCCCCAGCCTTTGCACCTCCCATAGGCAAGCTGGCCCTGAGACCCGCCCAAAATAAAGACCTGAGAGCAAAGTTCAAGATGGGCACAACCTCAAGCCACTGTGTGGGTCATCTGCGCCCAGCAGTAGACACCTGGTACAGAAGGGAAGCACTTACGGGAAAGCTAGTGGGTCCAGGTTGGGATAGCCACGTAAGGATGCCCACCTGAGGTGGGATATACACTCAGGAAAGGCAAGACTGGGGACTGATGGCACGGAAGCTGGGGGCAAGAGGAGCCAAGCAGGAAGAGAAGATGGGGCTGTGAAGCCCCAGTCTGTAAGGAAGTGGGATTCGTTTCTTCAGAAGGCACAGACTGAGCGCCTGTCACAGTTCAGCCATGCCTCAGCACTGCAGGTCTGAGGGAAGGGGACAGGTGCGGCACCCTAGCTGCAGGGGAGCGGGCAGACCAGAGACAGGCACACCGGGAAACTGGAAGCCGGGGCACGCAGGCAGGTGGACAGTGGTGACAAGGGAGGATGAGGTGGAGGGAGGCTGTGGTACTGGTAGACAGGGTAACAGGGGAGCCCGCTCTATGGAGCTTTATGAGCTAAAACCAGAATGAGAAAACCAGCCAGTCAGACAAGAAGCTGAAGTAAGAATGTCCTACACAGGGAAACCATAGCAACCAGTACAGAGCTGAGCAAGAACGAGCTTGATCCCAGGAAACCAAAAAGGCCAGGGTAGGCAGACGGTGGCTGGTAGCAAGTGAGACCTCGGCAGGAAGCCTAGGGTCGGGGAGGGCGGGGCAGCCACGTGGGCGCCAGGCACCTGCGCGGAGGCTGGACCAGCGTTTTCCTCGCGGTGCAATGGGAAGAAAGGCTCAGAGGCCTTTAACCAGGGAAGTAATGCTCTCTGGCAAGTGGTTTTCCACTCATTCTAGCAGCAGTGCAGAGTGGATGCTAGGGGCCAAGAACAGGGAGGGGAGGAAGGGCAGAGAGGAGCCTATTCTAAGAGGGCCAAGGCTTGAGCCTGGTGGCGGTCGAGACTGTGGGGAAAGTAGCCGGACCGGAGCCACGATCTGTCAGTTCTGCAGCTGACCTGGTCGTGCCGGTGGACCAGTCCGGGGAGTGGAGGGCAAAGGGTATAAACGGAAGAAAGAGAAATGAAGCGCATGTCCTTGGAGCTAGACTCGAGGAACTAGGTAAATGACGGTGCCGCTGACTGAGATGAGAAAATCAGGAATGGAGAATCGGTAAAGCCCATTCCCACAGGAGGTGCCCTTAGATGAGGGGAAGCAGAAAGGCAGGTGGATACAGGAAGGGATGTGGTGGGGACGTTGGCGTGGAGCCACCGTGTGGTTTCAGGTGGTATTTCAGGGCAGGAAGCGAGGTGACTCAGCTACCGGAGGGCAGACTCAAGAGGCAGATGGAGCACGGGGCTCAAGGAAGAAAGAGGAGCCTCAATCTCCCAGGAGACTTCCGAGGCGTCTCAGAAACACATTCTCGCTGTCACTTAGATTCAGAAGACACTGAGTCACATAGAGGAGCTTGGTGATCAGCGTGAGCTGGAAAGTACTAGCTCTCCCTCTGCCCTTCAGCCTGGAGGTCATCCTCCTGCCCTGAGGTCATGGGGGGCTCCTTTGGTTCGCGTATCCTTCCGTCCTGAGATCTCGTTTCAGGCTTTTCGTGTGTATTTTTATATGTTTTCCAAGAAGCTCCATCTTTGCAATCAATACTTGTAATTTAAAAGTAACAGAAAATATTGATTTGAAATTACTTGCAGGAAAACTTTATTTCACGTGCCTAATGCAGCTTCTGAGATTAAAATGAAAGCAGTAGCCAAACTTGCATAACCTACTGGTGGGAGTACAAATTGATATAATCTTCCTGGAGGGCAATTTGACAAAATTTTCTACATCCGCTTAGAATATGGAAAGTCACAACAAACTGTCACTCTCACCCTAACAATGAGAACAAGTAGAATAAGCTAAAAATATACATAGTTTTAAACCCATCAGAGAGTGGAGGATGCAAAGAAGCTACATTCCAGAAAGGACAAGTCACTCGGCGAGAAAAGGCGCGGTTCCTCCCATCCCCGCTGAGCGGTGGGAAAAGGCAAACTCAGAATAGACAAGGTAGGTATGTACGTGTGAACTGCTGGGTGGATCAGATGCTTGGGAGCCTCAGTCGCAGGCCAAGTCTGTGCCCAGTCTCTGGGGCTGTCACCAAGCACACCTAAGTGGTACACCAAAAGCTGGGGTGTGGCAGGAAAGCTGTGTGATACACCCCAAGGCACACGGGGTCTCACACAGGTCTGAGGCAGCTGTTTACTGACAGCTGAGCACAGGAAGGAAGGTAAGGTACGTCCCCATGAAGCTCCCCATGGAGCCTGGGCTAAGGGAACTTCAGCGCTTACTGCTGGTTAGAGCAGAGCAGGGTAGGCGGGGATCTCTGGAAGTGCAGAAAGCTGAGGACAGGCCTGAATGACGCACAGAACTCCCATGAAATCCCTCGAAAATGGCAGGCGGGCTGTAGACAGAGTCCCCAATATGCCAACCTAGCAGCAAGACTGAAAAATATAGGGATCTCTGGAGTCTCAAGCACTGGAATCTCAAGACCTGTTCAAGGAAAGCAATTAAAACAAGGGGTAACTTAGATCCACCTAAAACTGCAACAAAGTCAAAACAGTGCTCACCTTAGAAATTAAATTGACTAAGCCCACTTGACAAGAAGTCTGAGAGAAGAAGAGGCATTCTTTTCTGGTGGAAAATATTATTCATTTTTGTCTTTACTGTTTTTTATACAAATGTCTGACATTATACTTTTTAAAAACTGCAAGACAAGTGAAGGAAAAAAGGCGACCAAATCAAGAGCAAAAACAGCCATCAGAAGAAGACCCACAGAGCAAATACAGAAATGCCCAGTCATCAGAAGAAGACCCACAGAGCAAATACGGAAATGCCCAGTCATCTGAAGTAGACCCACAGAGCAAATACGGAAATGCCCAGTCATCAGAAGAAGACCCACAGAGCAAATACGGAAATGCCCAGTCATCTGAAGAAGACCCACAGAGCAAATACGGAAATGTCAAATTAAATGAGAAATGAGATACATGTTTAGGAAATTAAAGAAAAAATTGAGAACATGATGAACATAAAGGGAATTTAAGCAGAAAAATGCAAACTGGTCTTAAAATCACATGAAAGAGCTAGAAGTTAAAAATACAGTATCAGACAATATGGGAGGAGGGTGGGGCATGGCAGAGGGTGAGGGATAGGGAATCAAGGATGGCAAAAAAAAAAAGTATACAAGACATAAGAAATGGAAAATTATTTGCTGATAACATGTATGTTGATGTGCTTGATTGAGCCAATATACAGTGTATTTTGGATGGAAAATTCATTTGTATGCTGTAATGATGTATAGTGAATTAATGTAAAAAATAAATAAATTTAAAGAAGAAAAAATACAGTATCAGAAGTGACGCTTTTTTTTGCTAAGTAGAGAACTGTATATAGTAGGAAAAAAAACTAGTCAATATGAAGTCAGGTCAACAGAAATTATACAACAAAAACATTTAAAAATAAGCAGGGTGTCTGATATGAACTGTGTTTATTTAACATAGAAGTCATACACATATATGTTTATAAGTGTATGAACAAGCATGAAAAAGAAACCAGCCAGACTATTGAGGGTACCTCTGAAGAAGAAAGTGGTACTGGGAGACATAACAGGGGGCTGCAAAAATTACATTAAAAAAATGAAATTAAAATATGAATTTCGTGGGACCAGGACTCCCATATGGCTGACCATGGTTCAAGTCCTGGACTCTGTGACTTGAAACTCTGGCTGGGTACACGTTCATGTGTGCCCAAAATCACAAGAAAAAAATGGAGGAGGGCACACACGCTCTCTTTCTCTCTCTGGCAAGTGCATACGCCTTATAGCCAAAAAAAAAAAAAAGTATGGATTCCCCCTTTATCCAGCAATTCCAATTCACTCTAGTCTTCTTAATACCATCAGAAAGTTAAATAAACTAAAATACATACAAATTATATGACAGACATGGAGCTATTGAACAGGAATGGACCTTACCTGGTGTTATATTTTTGTGTCAGAAACTGCTGAATCAACCCTGGCTACCCATTCTACTCTTCTTTCTGCAAATGCAGGTCCCTGAGTTTGGGGTACACATATCTGAAATAAAGTCTGTATTTTTTAGGCACCCTGGTAGATGCATGTGGCCACGTGATTAAAGTCTTCCCCATAATGAGTAAACACAAGTGTCCCTGTGACTTTAGACTAGAACATCTTCCCCCACTTACAAGGCAGAACCCAACTTCCCCTGGCATGCTGCCCCTCCGAGTCCCTCTGCCCTTCAGGTTGAGCTCACACCGTATTCTGCATCTGATTCTGCTATGGCATTTGTCTCCCTGGGCTTGGACGCTTCCTCCCCCTCCTAGTCGGTGGGCTTCCGAGGCAGGCCATCTAGCACACGCAGCTCTTCATCTCTGCCCCTAGCAAGAGTGCTCAGTATATCACAGCCCAGAACATGTGTGTAAATAAAGGAACAATGAAGCAAATGAAAAGACATATGCTCTGGAGAAATAATAATGCCCAATTTTATTAACTGAATGAGGAATCCAAATAGGTTGAAAATTTATGTCCACGCAAAAACCAGTATTCAAATATTTGTAGCAGTTTTATTTATAATTCCCAAAACATGGAAGCAACCAAGATATCCTTCAGTAAGTGACTGGATAAATGAACTATAGTGCATCTTGACAACGGAATATCAGCACTGAACAAGAAATGAAGTGACAAGCCATAGAAGCATGGGGGAACATTAAGTGCGTGTTATTATTTTTTAATTTTTAAAGAATTTGCTACAGGGCACATGTGCTCACTAGAGACAGACAGAAAGAGAGAGATATAAAGTGAGAAAGTGCCCCTCCCAAGGGTAACACAATGCCTTTTCATTCATTCTCCTCTTGGGATTTGGGCATGCACTCACACACACAGCATGTTTTTCAAATCATTGGGTCTGGGACTCAAACCATGCCGTCAGCCATGTGGGATCCAACTGCCTTAACCACCATGCCACTGGCTAGCCCAAAATGCATTATTAAATGGAAGAGGCTAATCCGAAAAGGCTACATAGTGTATGATTCCACCTGGATGACATTCTGAAAAATACGGAGCTATGGAGACAATAGGGTCAGTGGTCAGCAGGAGTTAAGGAGTGGGGAAGGATAAACCGGGCAGAGCGCAGTGAGACTGCTCTGTCTGACACTGTAACACTGATACCTGCCATTCCATACACTGGTCCAAACTCACAGATGTTCAACAGCAAGAGTGAGCCCCAACATAAACTAAGAATTTTATATAAAAATAATGTAATGTCAGCTCATCAGTTGTAACGAATGTTCCACATTAAAACGAGACATTAATAATGGGTAAACCTTGGGCTAAGTGAAAGGGATATGTCAGAACTCTCTGTATTTTCCGTTCAATTTTTCTGTAAACCTAAAACTTCTAAAAAACAAAAGACTCATTTTTCAAAGACTTTTTTAAGTGGACAAGTCAGTATACTACATATTAATAGAGTAGTTAAAGCCCATGGAATCTGGACTCATACTGTGTGAGTTCAATCCTGATCCTTTCACTTAAAAACTATGTAGCTTTTAGGCCAGCCATGACAGCAGGCACTGGTTGACACTTCTACTCAGAAGGCTCAGGTCTGAAACCTGGTCCACCGTGAAAAGCCTGTGCCCATAATCCCAGTTACTTGGGAGGCAATAGAGCAAGACCTTGATTAAGAAAACAACAAATACTGGGACCAGCAGTTGGCATAATGGCTATGTCGCTGGACTCCCATGTAGTCGACTGTGGTTTGAGTTCTGGACCCGGTGGCTTAAACTCATGCCGAGCATGTGTGCATGCGTGCCCAAGATCCCGAGAGGAGAACGGAGGAGAACGGATTGCGGCATAGCCATCCCCCCTGGGGGGTGATTTCTTGCTTTCTGTCTCTCTGTCTCTCTCTGTCTTTCTGGTGAGTGCACGCACCCTATAGCAAAAACTTTCAAAAAAAATAAAAATTATGCAACTTTTGGGAAGTGACTTAATCTGTGTGTCAGTTTCACCATATAGAAAATAGGAAGCATAATAGAAGCTAATTCATAGAGTTATTTTGAGGATGAAATATATGAAGCCTTTGAACAGAGCCTGGTACATATTAAACCTACATAAATGATATCTACCATTAATGTTCTTATCTGCTCATAAATACTCACCTGAAGAAGAAGGTCTAAACATATTTTGGTAACCATTCCTTGAATACACTCTACATGGTGAAGAATGGGGTCTTGAGTAGGTGAATTTTCGTGTGTGAGGATACAAATTATGCCAATCTGGTGAAGTCGCCATTTTGCACATCAAATCCCTGTGACATGAAAGAAAATGCATTACATTTTCTTAAAGCTTGCATTACAAATGTAGCCAAAGAGCATAAAAATGCTGTAAGTCATGACCTGCTGGTGAACGTTTCAGACTGTTCCTAAGAACACAAAATCATGACTTTGGACTCCTGGTATTAAGCAGATCCAGATCTAATACGCTTCAAAGGTGGGAAAATAGAGAGGCCTTTAGATAGGAAAATCCACCTACATCTTGACCACCACTGAGTCATGTCTTCGGTGGGCACGAAGATTAAGAAGCTCCGGTTCTCTGAGTACTCCCGAGGTGCCTCCCTACGAACCTGACATACAGTCACAAATAAAGCTGGGGTGACAGCAGCAAAAATGCTGAAGGAAGGATCTCCTCCACAATGTCACAAAAATTATAAGAATCTATTTTGGGGGGAATTAAGAAAATTCACCACAGATTTATAGCAATCTAGGGGACATTCACTCATGAAAAATGACAGAGTCTTGGTGTGAAGAGCAAGTTTTGTGGCATTTTAACTCACCCTATTTCCATTGCTCTCCACTCCCCTTTTCCAACTCTGAGGCAGACCTGAAAACCAAGAGCCTGAAATCACAGTGAAGCCCAGCATCCTGACCTCACTAGCAGGGGCAGAACAAGGGCTGGAGCTCCTTCAAATCCCATTACCAAAAAATGGCCATTATCTGGCCTGATGGTGCCCTGAGAGATCCCAGCCGTAAGGTTGTCTTGATTTGAACTGATTCAGAGCTGGCACAGTACGAACAGCCTAAGATGATGAGGCAGTTTTGGGGAGAAAAAAATCAGGCAGTTGTATAGAATCACAGCTGCCTGAATGAGTGAATAATGAGGCAAATGATGAGCTAACCAAAAACTTAAATGGGAGACCTGGTGGATGAGACCTTCGGGAGGGCTTTGAAAATCTGCCCCATATTCCTGGGAATCTAAAAGGCTATGCACATGCACTGGGCTGTGAGCATTCTCCGGGCCACGGGAATACTCAGGAAAGCTCTGAGAAGGGCCTTATGCTCACCTCTGGCTGACCTTGAGGTGCCACACAAGCAGGAAGTGGAGGCTAAGTTGTAAACTGCCTGGCTGAGTGTTGAAGAAATGCTTCAACCAAAGAGCCCCTCAGCAAAAACTCGCCCGCTTAGTGTTTCCAGGCATTACGGACATTTCTGTCTGAGCACTAAGCTAACCAATCTGGGACTTCAGTGGCCATATATAACAAAGAACACAGACTTGACGAAGTTAGTTTAGAAAAGTTGCTAAACAAATAAACAAGGCATGGAAAGAAGTGAGACTGTCATTCCCATAATTGCCACATTATATTATTTAAATGTCCAGTCTTCAAGAGCAGGATGGTAGTGCAGCAGTAAAACCTGATCTACGACCCACACCGGAGGTTGCCACGTTCACATCCTGAGACTGCCTGAGGCGGGGGTGGATCGTGGCATCAGGACCACATTGAGGGAGCTATCTTTCTCTGTCCCTCTCCTGATGAAAGGAATAAATCAACTTCAAAATGTCCAGTTTTCAGCAAAAATGCAAAGAAACAAGAAAGTACCATCTATAAATACCAATTTTCAGAAACCTATGCAAGCAAAAAAGAGCGAAGTAAAATATTTAAAGTGTTGAAAGAAAAAAAGCCATCACCCTGTGCAGAAAAAACAAAGACTTCCTCAGACAAACAAAAATCAAGGAAATCTGTCACCAGCCGACCTGCTTGCAAGAAATGTTATAAGATGGGCTAGCGGGACCAGCAGTTAGCGTAATGGCTATGTCGCTGGACTCCCACATAGTCAACTGCGGTTTTGTGGGTTTTGGGTGGAAAGTTCTATAGCTGTCTGTCAAGTCCATCTGATTTATGGTATTGTTTAAGTCCTAAATCTCTTTGCTTATTTTTTGTCTTAGTTGATCTATCTAAAAGGGATAATGGGGTGCTTAGGTGCGATTCCTGGTTCAGGGCCCACACTTTGAGGACCACTGTTTGGAAGCACCATGCCTGACTGAACACCCTTTTCAAAATTAATCTTTAAAAATGGAAAATCGAGGGACCAGCAGTTAGCGTAATGGCTATGTCGCTGGACTCCCAGGTAGTCGACTGCAGTTCGCATCCCAGACCCGGTGGCTTAAACTCACGCCGGGCACGTGTGCGTGTGTGCCCAAGATCCCGAGAGGAGAATGGAGGAGAAGGGATTGCGGCGTGGCCATCCCCCCTGGGGGGGGGTTTCTCACTCTCTGTCTCTCTGTCTCTCTCTGTCTGTCTGGCAAGTGCATGCGCCCTATAGCAAAAACCTCTCCAAAAAAAAAAAGAGAGAGAGAGAGAGAAAAATAAAATAAAATAAATATTCTCTAAAGTTTCTTTCAAATAAAAATGAACCAGGGATTTGGAGAGACATTGCTCCAAAGAAGATATGTGGATGGCCAGTAAGTACATGAAAAGATCTCAACATCACTACACATGCGGGAAATGCAGTCACAGCCACAATGAGGTAGCACTTCACACTCACTGGGATGGCTATAATCAAAGAACCGAAGAACCACAAGTGTTAGCAAGTGTTACGGTTTGAATATGTCTCCCAAAAATTCATGTGTTGACACGCAGTTGTATTGTGAAGATAATAAAATGGTGTAAACATGACCTAACTATAGGATTAAGAGGTAGGGCTTTGGGAAGTGATCAGGAATAGATCAGTTCATCAGGGTGAAGCCCCAGTGATTGAATACTGGTGGGTGTGTAAGGAGAGGGAATGAGAAACATACAGAAATGGGGGCTGGCAGGTGGCATGGTGGTTAAGGGCACTGGATTCCCACATGGCCAACAGCAGTTCGAGTTCTGGACCTGGCGGCTTGCTTCTTTGCTTTCCCTTTCTCTGTCACTCTGTGTCTCTCTCTGGTCAAATAAAAAATAATAACAACAAAACAGGGGCCAGCGGGTGGTATGGTAGTTAAAGGCACTAGATTTCCACATGGCCAATTGCAGTTCGAGTCCAGGTCCTGGTGGCTTGCTTTCTCGCTTTCCCTTTTCCTTTCTCTCTCTCTCTCTCTCTCTCTCTCTCTCTTTCTGTGTGTCTGTCCGTCTGTCTGTATGGTCAAATTTAAAAATAACAACAAATGGAATTAAATAAATAAATAATTCTTAAAAAAAAAAAAAAGATACAGAAACAGACACACGCAGGCTCTTGTCGTGTGATGTCCTGCACCGCCTTGGGACTCCATATAGAATTTTATCAGCAAGAAGACCCTCACTAGCTGCACCCTCACTGACTCTTAACCTCTAAAATTATGAGTTAAACAAACCTCTATTCTTTATAAATTGGTATTCAGTATGATATTCAGTTGTTAGCAACAAAAAAACAGACTGAAACAGCAAGGATGAAAAGACATTGAAATCCTCATACATTGCTGGTGGGAATGTAAAATGGTACAGCTGCTTAGGAATACAGTTTGGCAGTTTCTCAAAAAGTTAAACATAGAGTTACCAAATGGCCAAGCAATTTCACTTCCAGGCATATACCCAAGGGACTTGAAAATTATGTTCACACAAAACTTGGGCATGAATATTCATAGCAGTAAGCATTCACAACAGCCAAGAGGTAGAAACAATCCCAAGTTCCACCAACTATGTATGGATAAATAAAAAGTGGTATATCCATTCAGTGGACTATTATCTAGCCATAAAAAGGAATACACATGTTGATTTATGCTACAATGTGTGTGATCCTTGAAAACATGCTAAGGCAAACCCCAAAAAACATACACTGCATCCTGCCATTTACATAAAATGTCCACAAGAAGCAAATCTATGAAGACAGAAAGATTAGCAGTTGCCAGATACTGGAGAAAGCAGGGAATGAGACTACCAATAGGTACAGGATTTCTTTGGGGGGTAATAAAAATTGTTCTGGAGGGACCAGCAAATAGCATCACTGGACACACACGTAGTTAACCATGGTTTGAGTCCCAGACTCAGCAGCTAAAACTCATACCAGGTGTGCGTGCATGTGTGCCCAAAATCCTGAGAGGAGAATGGAGGGAGAAGGGATTGAGGCATGGCCATCCCCCGGGGGGCAATTTCTCACTTTCTGTCTCTCTGTCTCTCCAGTGAGTGCACAAGTGCACGTGCCCTATAGAAAAAAACCTGTTTTAAAAAAATTGTTCTGTATGGAACCAGCAGTTAGCGTAATAGCTATGTCGCTGGACTCCCACGTAGTCGACCGCGGTTTGTGTCCCGGACCCGGTGGCTTAAAACTCACGCCGGGCGCGTGTGCGTGCGTGCCCAAGATCCCAAGAGGAGAATGGAGGAGAAGGGATTGCGGCGTGACCATCCCCCCTGGGGGATGATTTCTCGCTTTCTGTCTCTATGTCTCTCTCTGTCTGTCTGGCGAGCGCACGCGCACTACAGTGAAAATCTCTCAAAAAAAAAAAATTGTTCTGTATCTAGCCACAGTAACATGCTCAGGTAGATGCGGCTACTTGGCAGGCTGAGAGCCACATGGGAGACCCAGGTTCAATTCCCACTAGGCATGATGGCACATACCAGAGAGAGGAGGATCAGGACACAGCAAGAAAAAAAAAAAATCAAAATCATTCTGGAATTAGATAGTGGTAATGGTTCCACATTTTTTTGAACATAATAAAAATCACTGAGCTATACACTTGAAAAGGATGTATTTTATGATATGTGAATTACATATATTACAATTAGAGAAGGAAGGAAGGAAGGAAGGAAGGAGGGAGGGAGGGAGGGAGGGAGGGAGAGAGGGAAGGAAGGAAGGGAGGGAGGGAGGCAGAGGAAGGGAGATGACAGCAGCAGCAGCACTGGCTGGGCCAAGAGGAAAGTGCTCCCCAGGGCATCTTTGGCAAAGGTGCTGACTTCTCAATAATGTGTAAGGTAATATGTTCACATGACAGTTGTAAATACTATGACTACAAGAGTCTAGAGGAAACAGGGCCAATGTAAAACATAGGATGGATCCAGTGAGAGTCAGTGGGACA